ATTGAAAGATTAACAACTCCCCCCTTTTGGTTACACAATCTTCTACAATTACAGTTGTGACAATCACAGCTAATCCTGCTAACAGTTACTCACAATTGAATCATAAAATCCTATCAGCATCGTTCCCTATCTCCTTTCACCAGCTCCATCTGGAGAGAGGAAAACCGATTCAGTGAGGATATTACCTTACCCCCCTCATTCTGAAACTAAGCACACTCATGAAAGCCAGCTACTTCAGGCCTTTATGTTGTTGTTAAGTGCCGTCGAGTCAGTACCAACTCATAGCAGCCCTAAGGTTTCCAAAGAGTGGCTGGTAAGCTTGAACTGCTGACCTTGGAGTTCAAATTGACCTTACAGTCCAGCGCATTAACCCACAGCACCACACTAGCCCCCCGTTTTTGATAGCCAATGTCTAGATTTTTTCCATCCCTATCAACCCCGTGCACTGAGGAATCAAGCTAGTTCTCTGATTTGAAGAATCCTTCCATTCTTGTTGGAATTTTGAGCGTCTTCTGCATCCATAAGCAAAGGTCCAGTTCATTTAATTGTAGCAGTTTACACTTGCTCACAGTATCAAACATCTTTATCTGGTTGGGTTCTGGTCAGCTAGCCATCCAAGCTAGGTTGAATGGGGACTAGCTGCAAGTTTGGGAGTTCACACAAACCTCCCTGGCTGCTTCATTCTCAGCTCTAACCCCCAGTGGCTAGGTCAGCACCCATGAGCTTGGGAGTTCACACATCTCCCTATGCTTCATACTGTCAGCTCATTGACTTTTAGATATTATAAAAGCCACTCATTAAAAGAGATGAGGATAAGATTCTTATGATTCAATAGTGAATAATTGTTATCCTGACTAATTGTGACTGTCACAATTGTAAAGGTAGAAGTTTTGCAACAAAAAGGGGCAGTGATTAATCTTACAGTCCAGAAACCGAGGACCCTAGAACCATCAAGGGAGAAGAGCACAGGCAGAATGCAGAGCCTTCTCCAGAGAAGTGGTACATCAGAGATGGAGGCAGAAATGGGGACATGGAGAGAGGGAGCAGCTGAGGACTCTAGACTCATGGAAATAGAGGGACTAAGAGATGGCGGCCAGGAGGCAGACTTGCAGAATGTTCCTTTTGGTGGTGTAAATTATTATATATGCCTGAGTGTTTTTTGGTGTGTTTTTTTTAAAGCTAAAGTGAATAGAGAGAAACACTAGTAACTGATGGTACAATGCAGGGGATTGTAATCATTATCATGAAACAAGGTGTATGATTTGTTGAATGTAAAACTGATGATCTGCCCTGGAAACTTTCACTCAATCCACAATAAAAACTTTAAAAAAAAAAGGCACTTATACTTTTTATACAGAGGTTAGCTATAAACAGAGTCCACATAGAGGTGCCTCAGAAGACAAAAGACTTGGTAATTTACTGCTGGAAAAACCAGCTATTGAAAACTTCTCACTGAGCACAGTTCTGCTTGGACACACCAGGGAGCACCAGAATCGACTCCATGACAAGTCAACCAACCACAAGAAACAGCAGCAAAAAATAGCCGGCTGGCCAGGTGGGCCTGGTTTCCACTACTGCCAGGAGCCGAGGATGGCTTTTCCAGGTTTGCAAATGGTAGCAAATAAAACAATGAGAAGAATGTTTTGTGACCCGTGAAAATGATGCACAATTCCAGTTTCTGTGTCCATTAAGAAAGTTGGATTTGAACGGAGCCTTGTATTTCGTTTTACAAATTATCTGCTTCCTGCTGACACATAGCTCCAGCAGAGATCCTGTTACCCACCACGCTTGAAATATCCACTCCCAAGCCTTTCACAGAAGAGGTTTAGCCAACCCCTGTTTGAGAACCAGAGGGAAGTGAAAGAAAATCATCCCCAAATGACTGCTGCTGTCATCTGAGTGGATCTGGGCCTCGTCATTGTTTGAGGGTGAAGATGCTCTGTGTGTTTTCCTGGTTGTTATTCTGGGGTACATACTGCGTACTGTTGGGACAGGGCTGGATTCGGAGTGACCCCAGAGTCCTGCACACAGAAGGGTCTCAGTGAAAAGTTGGGCCCCGTGTGATGTTTCTAACTAGTGGGCATCCATAGTTTGGCCCCAGACATACCCATCTAGCTGCAGACCAGCCCCTGCACTCTCTAAGTGTTGTACTTTTAACTATGCTGTTCTGCCCACGACTCTGTTCCTGGTGCCCAAACTAGTGTTCTAGAATATTCCATTCCCCCTCTGTGCTGGCCCCATCTGGACAATTCCCAGCCTGACATTGGGCTGCAGTGGGTCTGGGTGGATGTTGGTCGAGACGTCCCACATGCTAGGGTGTCCTTTCACCTTTGGCCCATGTAGAGGGCTGCCCTCCTTGCTTATGTGTGTGTGTGTGTGTGTGTGTGTGTATGGGTCCATGCGCCATGGAAATAGTAGCTGCTGGGTGGGGCTCCGGAGACTGTAGACTACACTGAGACAGTTTCACTTTCTTTGGCAGCTGTCTATGCCACTGGGCAGGCAAAGTGTTTAAACAGCCCGAAAGGAAACCGATTGGCTAATCTTTTGTTTCTAAACAGTTTACTTTTCTGGTGTTTAAACAAACTCCTAACCAGGCTTTGTGGCCAGTCCCAGGGAGGGGGCCTAGCCTCTCTGCTCTGCATGCCCCCTACACCCTCCCACCCCAGGGCTTCTCTGGGGCTAAAGGAGGGTAGCTCTCACCCCCTCAAGGCCTGGCCTTGGTCAGCACACTGCTTGGACACTACAGCCTGGTCTCTGGGTTTTTCCACTGAGAAGTTGAAATAAAACCTGCAGCCCTAAGGGTATCAGAGACCCTCCCTCTGAGTCAATTAGCACCTACATATTTATTCCAGCAGATAATTCCTACCTCTGCCACCAGGATCTCCAGCTAATGGCCACTGATAATGGTGCACCCACTGGGGGAGGTGTTGAGACTTTGCAGTGACCTGGTTCCTGGAGGGCGGGGCAGGTGTGCTCAGCTCTTGGTGGCTTGGGGCACATTTGGAACCCTGCCAGAGTCTTCCCCAGGAGATTGCTGTGTGAATCTGAATTCCAGAGGCACTTGGAGCTGTATGCCAGACCCCACCTCATCTCAGCTCTGTGTTGCCCCCCCACGTTCCCCCACGTTTGTTCGAGGCACTGGTGACAGTGTGCAGTATCTAATCACTTAGGGTCTGTGCCCCTGACCCCAGAGCATCAGGAGGGCAGAGTGGACCACCTTCACCCCAGCATCTGGCACAGGGCGTGGCCTAAATAAGATTCCCCAGAGAGATTGGTGGGATGACCGGGCCAGTGGGCAGCAGGTGAGACTTATGGCCCTGAGGGGTTTGGCCCTGGGGGTTGTAGAACCTGATTTCTTATTTCCCACTGACCACTGTGTGCCCTCAGGCTGGGCACTTGACCTCTCTGTGGGTCAGACACTTTCACTTCGTAGGGGAGGAATGAAGGTTGTGTTACTTACCTGAGGACCCTGGAGACAGGGACAGGATAGAGTGGGCTCCCATGTGCCTGGGGATGGAGCACGGAGTCCCCCTGGACCAGCATTGGTGGTAGGAGGACAGTGGACATGCTTGTATTCTAGTGGGATTCGACACACAGAATGTCCTTGGGCTCAGATTGGGAACCCGGGAAAAGTCTGTGGAAAATTTGTGCAACCCCTTAGGTAGGGGCTCAGACTGGGGTCCTTCTGGTCACACACCCTGCGGGTCTTCCCTGCAACCTCATGGCCGTGGGCAGAGCTGGGTTTTGGTTGATGGTCCCTTTAATACTAGAGCCAGATGAGGAAGCTGGCCCAGAAAGGGTGGGGAACCTACCTGAGGTCACACAGCAGGGAAGTTCTCATAGGCTGTGCTGCCTGGCATGTCTTGCTCAGTACCTGTTTTGGGTGTGGTGGTGTGCTGGAGGCTGCAGAGGGGACAGGGCATGTGAGTCTATAAGGGTGGGGCCGCAGAAGGGTGGGGAGGGCCTGTGGGGACACTGGGCCTGCAGGAGGTGGTGGGTGGCCTGCATCTTGAAGGAAGGGCTGAAAGTAAACCACACATTTGGGGAGGGGAGCCCAGAGGGAGAAAATCTTGACTTTTAGGATCCCTTGCTGCCCTGACTTGAGTGGGAACGCTGCCAACTCAATCTGAACTTGAGTCGTGGAGAATTCTGTGTAGTTGGGCACTTGGGGTACCTTCCAAGTACTATCTGACACCCCACTTTCCCCCACCAGCCTGCCTCAGTGTCCCCAGCCCCAGGCCCTTGCAGCCGTCGCTGTCACTTGTGCGCCCTCTAGTGGTGGAATCGGATATGATCTCCAGGGCTCCTTACTTAAAATGCAGGTCCCTGGACAGGAAGCAGGTCCCCACTCTAGAAGGCCAGGTGCTGCAGAGACTGGGGCTGGATATCTGGTATGAGGAAAGCACACGGTCAGCTGCTCTCTGGACTTCTCATCCAGCCAGCCCAGAAGTGTCCTACTGCCCTGACCTCCTCACTCTGTGGGCCCTTCAGACCAGAAAGGACCCAAACAAAGGAGTGAATGATGAACCAGCTCGGGGACAGCTCAGGCCCACCACCTGAGCTTCTGAGTCTCCCATTCCAGGAAGGACTTTGTAATTTTTCACATTCCGAATATTGTCCCACTTCGCCCAGATTTTTAAAATTCACGCATTTTCCAGTCTCACTTTAGCCAGAAAATGAACCAGCTCACACAGCTTTTAAAGCACTGGGTGTATGCCAGGGCAGTTGGGGGTCATAGAAGGTGTGGCCTGAGAGGGGGCCCACAGCCCCGCAGGTGAGAAGAAGCCATAACTGATTGCGAGGTTGCTCTTGGGCAGTGGTTGAATCCAGGTGGCTGTGTGACGCTGAGCTAGTTGCCTAACCTCTCTGTGTTTACCCACTTTTAGTCCCATCTGTAAAATGGGGATGAAAGTAGTGCTGTCCTCACAGGAGCTCGATGTTTGTTACTGACCGCCTCCCGCTCCTGTGTGGGCCTCTGATCCCCGTGTTTGTCTCCCCAGGGGCAGAGGAAGTGCTGTTGCTGGCCCGGCGGACGGACCTGCGGAGGATCTCTCTGGACACGCCGGACTTCACGGACATTGTGCTGCAGGTGGATGACATCCGGCACGCCATCGCCATTGACTACGACCCAGTGGAGGGTTACGTGTACTGGACAGATGACGAGGTGCGGGCCATCCGCAGGGCCTACCTGGATGGCTCAGGCGCACAGACACTGGTCAGCACTGAGATCAATGACCCCGACGGTATTGCAGTTGACTGGGTGGCCCGCAACCTCTACTGGACAGACACGGGCACTGACCGCATCGAGGTGACGCGCCTCAACGGCACCTCACGCAAGATCCTGGTGTCTGAGGACCTGGACGAACCACGTGCCATCGTGCTGCATCCTGTGATGGGGTGAGGCTGGGCGGGGCCTCCTACTAGCCTGTGGTTCTTAGTTCCTTGTTGTTGTTGTTGTGTGCCGTGGAGTCAGTTCTGACTCATAGCGACCCTGTACAGGGTTTCCGAGGCTGTAAATCTTTACGGGAGCAGAACGCCATGTCTTTCTCCCGCAGAGCAGCTGGTAGTTTCGAACTGCTGAACTATGCTACCAGAGCTTCTTCTTAGGTCCTTAGAGTTGCTATAACAGAATACCACAAAGGGGTGGCTTTAATGAATGGAAATTTATTCTCTTGATTGTTGTTATTGTTAAGTGCCATCAAGTATAGCAACCCTGTATAGAGAGGGTTTCCAAAGAGTGGCTGGCAGGTTTGAACTGCTGCCCTGATGGTAAGCAGTCCAGTGCTTATCTTACAGCGCCATGTCAGGAGTCCCACAGTTTAGAAGGTTAGAAGTCTAAATTCAGAGTGTCACCTCTTAGAGGAAGGCTTTCTCTGCCTTTACCAGCTGGGGGAAGGTCTTTGTTGCGCTTCAGCATCTGTTAGCCTGGGATTCCTTGGAGATCTCCATACACCTTGGTATCAATCTCTCCTCAACCTAGCATCTTCTCTGTGCAGGGACTTCAGGTTTAAAGGACACACTCCACTCCTGGCCTTTCTTGCTGGTAGGAGGTCCCTTTGAGCCCTGCTTGTCCTGTTTAATTTCTTTGATATCTTAAGAGCGTTTGACTCAAGATAGACCTTAATCCTATAGATTCCATCTGGCTTTAGAAGTGACAGACAACGTACAACACATCAGGTAATGAATCAGATCAGGACTCATCGTGGAGGGCGTTGATATGTCTTAACTGCTGAACCACTGAGAATCTTGGCCCGGTCAAGCCGACACAAACTTTTAATATCCCATGGTGGTTTTAATGAGCAGGCTTAGCTAACTCTCAGAGTTCAGGAGGCTAGGAGACTGAGCACAGGTCGCCGGCTCTCAGGGAAGGTTTTCTGTGTGTTGGCTCTGGGAGAAGTCAGCATCTATTCCTGGGTTCCTTGGTGACCACGTGGTCTCTCTTCCCTTCCATGTGTGCTTTCGTAGAGCCTGCTTAAGGAACCCTGGTGGTATCAGTAGCTAAGCGCTCAGCTGCTAAGGTAGAAGTCTGCAGTTCAAATCCACCAACCACTTCGTGGAAGAAAGATGTGGTGTTTCCATAGATGACAGCTTTGGAAACCCCGTGGGGCAGCTCACAGTGTCCTGTGAGTTGCTGTCCACCCAACGGTGGTGGGGAGGTTTGCTTGGTTCATTGGTTCTTTGTATCTCAAAAGAGATCAATTCAAAGCCAGGCCTTCAAACTGGTTCATTTGAGTTTGATGGCCTGCTGAGAATTTGCCTTCCCCCTCAGTTAGACTGACTCAGAATCTAGAGTTTCACAAGACCCCCAGGTGAGTAAAAGACCCTAAACTCGATGAGAGTCACCTAGGACTGCGCTTAAATGTAGGTTCCAGTTTCGTCTCTCTGGATTAGGAAGGAAATTCTCAGTTGGGCGTCCAGCTGGGGTGAAGAGGTTCACAGCCCTGCTGAAAAGCTTTGTTGTTGTTAAGTACCATCCAGTTGGTTCTGATTCATGGTGACCCTCTATAGGGTTTCAGAGGCTTTACCTCTTCACAGGAGCAGAATGCCTCATCTTTCTCCCTTGGAGTGGTTGGTGTGCTCGAACCATGGACCTTGTGGTTTTGCAATCCAGTGCTTATATCGCTTGGAGCCACTGCACTCTCCAAAACTTACCCTACACAATCCTTCCTGTGGCACATAACAAAGAAAACTCTCTTCTCAAAACACGGCTTCGGGGTTAGGATTTATGACACTCATTTCTCGGGGCCAGAGTTCAACCCACAGCAAGCTGGGGAGCCAGGCTACACAGACCTGCGAGAGAATGTTCTAGTACAACAGGTAAGGAGGGGCACAGCATACACAACACACAATACACACATGATACCACACACACATACATACCACACGCATGCATATACATCACACTGTCATATTTACAAACACACCACATACACAGTTATATACACCACACAGCACAACATACACACCACATACACAGTTGTATACACCACACAGCATAACATACACATCACATACACAGAACACACATCACATACATCCCACATACAAACACACACACAAGAACATCAATACTGAGTTTGGGTTCAGGAGGTCTGGGCTGAGCTGACAACCTGCATTTCTAATAAGCTCCCAGCTGCTGCTGCTGCTGATGGTGGTCCTCAGGCCACACAAAATGTGTGCACATGTACAGAATATTCCAGAAAGCCTGGGTGTGGCATTTCTGTTTCCTCATTGGTAAGTTATGATAGTAATAAGAGTGGTACTCATGTGGCACCTACCATGGGCCATGTTCTTTCAGCCTCAGGTCACTCCAAGGGGTAAGGATGAAGCACAGAGAGGTTTAGTGACTGGCCCAGGGTCACACAGCCAGACCTGGTCAAGCTGGTACCTTGTTAAGATTCTCCCCCTTGTAATGGGGGAAGGCTGGGGAGCAAACGGTGTTGGTCGTACGCTGCGGGTGCATTAGAGATTGAGACCAGAGAGCCCACTGCTGACCTCTGCTTCCTCCCCAGGCTCATGTACTGGACGGACTGGGGCGAGAACCCCAAAATCGAATGTGCCAACCTGGATGGACAGGAACGGCGTGTCCTGGTGAACACCTCCCTCGGGTGGCCCAACGGCCTGGCCCTGGACCTGCAGGAGGGAAAACTCTACTGGGGAGACGCCAAGACAGACAAGATCGAGGTGAGCTGTCTGCAGGCCTCAGTGCCACTTTGGGGATCCGATCGATAGAGGTGGGGGGTTGGAATTGCCCTACCGCCTCTGGTTCCCACTGGGCTGCAGGTCCCAGGGCACAAGTCAGATTAGTGACAGCCTAGATACCTGGTCACTGTCAGCCTCTGTCATTTGGCCAAATGGAATCCTCGAACAAATAATGTGTTATGAGAGCTTTCTGACAAAGAGGCCTTGTTGAGGGTTGTTCTGGAGTACACAGCCCTGTGCAACGTCTGTTTCCTGATTTGGACAATGTGCTATGCTTTTGTTGGGCGAGGGGCACTACATGGGACCTCCTGTGCTGCTTTTGCTAATTCCTGTGTCTTAGGCAGTTTCAGAATAGGAAGTGATATTAACAAAAGTGATATTAACACAGAAAGACTCATGTATCTGCCATCCCAGCTCATAACAGTATCATTGTATCATTGTCAGTATTATTGAATCCTGTTGTGAATTTGGCGATTTATTTCCCAGCGATTGAAAAATGCTTCTTGACCACATGGGTGTAAGCCTGAATAACATGTAGTCTTATTTTCCATGTATTTGTATAATTTAAGTGGCAGATACATTCCTTTGGTACCTCATTTGGCTCACATAAGGAGGAGGTCACTGTGAGTTGGAACAGACTTGATAGCACTTAACAACAACAAAAAGAAGCCCTCAATTGTTTATGGCAAGAAATTTGAAAGACAACTAACTACTTAGCCAACCGATTGGAAAAGATCCATTGTTATGTCCCTACGGTAACTCACCGGAATGCAGAAATCATTGAGCAAGATCGTTAATATCACATGCAAGTCAAATTTTGCTCAAGATAATTCAGAAACAGTTACAGAGCTGCCAGAAATCAAGCTAGATTCAGAGGAGGATGTGGAACTAGGGATAGCATTGCTGATGTCAGATGGATCTTGACTGAAAGCAGAGAATGCCAGAAAGAAGTTCACTTGTGCTTTATTGCTTATGTGAAGAAATTTGACTGTGTAGATTGTAACAAACTACGGGTAGAATTGTGAGGACTGAGTATACCAGAATGCCTAATTGTGTTCGTGAGAAGCCTGTACATAAAAAGGAGTTACTGAATGGTTTAAAATCAGAAAAGCTGTGTACCACCGTTGTATTCTTTTGCCAAATGTATTCAATCTGTATGCTAAACACATAATCCAGGAAGCTGGAGTATGTGAAGAAGAGCGTGGCATTAGAATTGGAGGAAGGCTTATTAACAACTTTGGATACATAGGTGACACAACCTTGCTTGTTGGAAGCAAAGAGGACTTGCATCAGAAAGAAATACTTAACTGATGAAAATCAAAGATCACAGCCTTCCGTATGGGTTGTACATCAGTGTAAAGAAAACAAAAATCCTCACAACTAGACCAGTAAATACCATCATGAAAAGTGAAAAAAAAGATTTAAGTTATTAGACTTGAATTTGTTTGGGTCCACAATCAAGCTGCAGTCAAGAAATCAAATGATGTATTGCATTAGGCAAATCTGCTGCACAAGACCTCTATAATGTGTCCAAGAGCAAAGATGTCGGTTTGAAGACTAACCCAAGCCATGGTATTTTCAATTGACTCATAAGCATGTGAAAGTTGAACCGTGAATAAGGAAGACTATAGAAGAATCAATGCATTTGAATTATGGTATTGGTAGCCTAGTGGATTATAAAGTGGACAGCTAACTGAAAGGCCAGCAGTTCGAATCTACCAGCTGCTCCATGGGAGAAAGATGAGGCTTTCTGCTCCTGCCAAGATTTTCAGCCTCAGAAACCCTATACAGGGTCGCTCTGAGTCAGAACCGACGTGTTGGCACATTACCACCACCATCAGCATTAGTGAGGCTTATTGAAGGTACCATGGATTTCCAGATCAAACACATCTGTCTTGGATGAAGTACACCCAGAATGCTCCTGAGAAGCTAAGGTGGTGAGATTTTTGACTCTGATACTTTGGACATGTGATCAGGAGGGGCCAGTCCCTGGAGATGGGTATCATGCCTAGTCACTTACACAGTGACAGCAAAAGTGGGCTCAAACACAGCAACAATTGTGAGTACCACAAAAGTGTAGAAATGCTTATGAAACAAAATACCAAAAGGTGAAGCTGTTATTTCTGAACACATCCTCCATCTGGGTCTGTACACTTCTGAAGACAGTGTTTCTATCTCTTCAACCCTTCCCAGAAGAATTCTGTGCTCTTCAGTTCATACTGTGTGTCAAGGGGTGGTTTTGGCATGCTCGAGGGACTCCAGTTGTGTTCCAATGTCCTTTGCATGTAGGGCTTAAAAAGAAGTCCGAAGGGACATGGTGCAAGGCCAGGGCTGTAGACGGTGGATGGACTAAGGTTTCCCGGTGTAATTCTGGAAGGACAGCCCTTGCTACCCCTCGAAGAATGAGCAGGTACATTGTCATGATGGAAGCAACAAAAAATATTCCTTGGTAAAATTTTCCTGGCCTTATTTTTCACCGGTTCGCTTTTCCATTTTCTTTAAACTTCTTCAAAGACTCAGCCAGAAAATTACCGAAACTCATTGGATGATTCAGCCAAGTGGTAGGGAACAAGCTGAGCATGTAATAATCAGTGGTATGCCTTTACACTAACACGTTGAACTCTGAAAGAGAAATCAGGAAATCGGTGTCAGTGACGATAATCACCCAAAATGTGAACTACTTAGGAATAGATCTAATCCGAATAAAAAAAGATTTATACAAAGCAAACTATAAAACACTGCTATAAGAAACCAAAAAAGACCATACTAATAAACCCTTATAATCATCCTGTGCCCTTTATGAAAAATACATCAAAACAACCTCTTTGGAATCTCAAGAAACAGACGCTATACGCTTCTGAGCTGACCTCTGTGCCGTGAATTGAACTGGTCAGCAGATCCCCTTAGAAGCCACGGTTCTGATTGAGCCTTTTTTTTTGGGGGGGAAGGCACCTAATGAGGCTAAGACAAGTGTATTTATTACTGAGAGAACTTGTCTCCAGAGACAAGTTAAAACATGTTTGTTGGAAATAAACTGGTGCTTGCATGACCTGGAATGTTAATAGATGTTTTTAGACTTAACTTCATCCAATGAGCATGCACCTCAGGAAGACAAGGAAGGGGCCAGGCATAGGGTAGGAGGTCAGCACAGAATTGGTCACCAACTCCCAGGTGGGGCCTCAGCTCCCCAGTTCATGGTACAAGGGACCGTCTAATCCAGCATCTTCACCTGGCCGGACCAGAGAATCACCTGGGAGAGCTACAGTCCTGAACGTGGACCCTGGGCCTTTCAATTCTGATGTAACCTTTTCATAATCAAGTTATGTTCCATGTTGAATTTTTGGTTGGTACCATGTGTTTTCAATAATGAAAGGTATGCTGAAATCAAGGGTGGGGTAATAATTTCTGAGGTAATTAGGCTTTTGAGACAATTATGTGGGACACATGTGTCCCAAGTAGTTTCCCATGGTAGGATGGATGTGGTGAGACCCATCTCTTCAGACTCATGCAGTTACACAGGTCCCCACCAGGTGGCAACCAGTACTACAACTGGGATAGCACAGCTTCCCAAGAAACCTGAGCGACTGAAAATGTTGGTGGGTGCTATCTGTTCCATGTGTCACAAAAGAGTTAATGGCTCCAGGTTGGGACCCTGGCATTGGTCTTCACTGAGTTCCCTGAGTGTCTTTAGGTCCAGGTGTCTTCATTCCTCGGTCAGAAGCTGAGGTATGCACAGGGACTTTTCCAGGGATACAGGGCACCTGGGGTGGGGCTCTGGACGCAGAGCTGTCTTCCCTGTCCCCATCCAGCCACTGAGAACTGAAACCTCTTCTGCCAAGCACGCCTCTGGTCCGTCTTGGGTTTTTCGCTGTCTTCCCGCTCACATATCCCACGGAGCGCTTGGAGTTCTTCAGCGAGTCTGGCTGCAGGAAGCTTGCTGAATCTTTTGGAATTACATCTGCCTCTTTCATCCTGTGCTGATGGCTGGAGCATTTATTGCCCTTTTAACATGAGTGTATCTAGGTTCATGTCTTGGCAGAAACACGTCTGATCCTATGTGTCTTGGTGTGTCCCAGGTTGGGAAGGCGTTTTTTGTTTGTTTGTTTGTTGGACAGGCTTTTTCTCCTTGGTGACTTTTGTGGTGGATGTTTTTCATCAGCACTGCTTTTTCAAGAAAAGCATTGAGTGTTTTTTTTTTAATCTTGGGCACAGCAGGCGAGAGTGCGTGTGATGGTGGGAACTTTGTTACAGGGGCCTGCTGGCTTGTAACTCTGATGTGTCTGTATGCAAGTATGCAGCATGCAAGGTGGGTGGGGGTGGGCTTCCAAAACGCTAGTGGAAAAATGGAATCAAGAGACAATGAAATAAGAGAAGCAGCAACACCAGAGATGGAGGCAGAGATGAGGCTTCCAGACTCGTGGAAAGAGAAAGGCTGTATGCTGGCGGCAGGAGGCAGGATGTGCCCTTGGGTTGTTTAAATGATTATATATTCCTGAGTGTTTTTGTGTACACCCCCCACCACACTCCCCAAAAACAGAGTGAATAGAAATAAATACTGTTGAATGATGATGCACAGAGGAAATTGTAATCATTGAACTGAAACGATGAGTGTAAAACTGATGTTCCCCCATGTAAACTATCACCCAGTTCACAATAAAACATTTTTAAAAATAGAGAGAGAATGGAATGTTTCCACAAACTTTTGGAAGCCCCCTCATCCATGGAGACACATGTGTGTATTGTAAGGATGTTGTTGTTGTTGTTAAGTACCTTCGAGTCAGTTCCGACCCACAGCGACCCTGTACAGGGTTTCCGAGACTGTAAATCTTTACGGGAGCAGAATGCCTCATCTTTGTCCCGTGGAACCGCTGGTAGTTTCGAACTGCTGGCCTTAAGGTTCGCAGCCCGATTCGTAACCACTACGCTACCAGAGTGGTTTCCAAGGAGCCCTGGTGGCACAATGGTTAAGCACCCCATTACCAATTACAGGTCTGAACCCACTCAGCGGCTCCATGGGGAGAAGACTTGGTACTCTGTTCTTGTAAAGCTCTGCTCTGTCACAGGGGTGGTGATGAGGCAGAGTTGACTCCGAGGTAGTGAGTTACCACCACCACCTTAACCAACAACGTAACAATGTTTCTAACCATCTATTGCTCCTTCATAAACCACCTCAACACTTCAAATGGCTACTGAATATATGTTGTTGTTGTTGTTATGTGCTGTGGAGTCGCTTCCAACTCATTGCGACCCTGTACAGGGTTTCCGAGGCTGTAAATCTTTACGGGAACAGAAAGCCTCATCTTTCTCCTGTGGAACAGCTGGTAGTTTCTAACTGCTGACCTTGAGGTTGGCAGCCCGACTTGTAACCACTATGCTACCATATATATTGTGGAGTCCTGGTATGGGCTATATGATAAGCAGTTGACTGCAAGGTCGTTGGTTTGAACTGCAAGATCGGTGGTTCAAACATACCAGTTGCTCCTCCAAAAATCCTGTACGGGTCGCTGTGAGTCGGAACCTACTCAACGGCACTTAACAATGTTAGTCATCAAAGGCTTCCTGGTGTGGCACTGTAGGATCAACACTGGACCACGAACCACACGTCAGCAATTCAAATCCATCGGCCGTTCCTTAGAAATCCTAAAGGGTTGCTTTGAGTCGGAACCAACTTGATGGCACTTAACAGCGGAGAAATCCAGGAACCCTGGTAACATAACGGATTACACATTGGGCTGCTAACCTCAAGGTCAGCAGTTTGAATCCACCAGAGACTCCATGGGAGAAAGACGAGGCTGTCTTCTTCTGTCAAGAGTTACAGCCTTCGAAACCCTGAAGCGGATTCTTATGAGTCAGAACTGACTTGGGCACACCACCACCACCGCCATGTATTTTACACTCAAGATTGTTGTTTCATCTGGAAGAAGAGACTTTATGTCTTTGAGATTTAGTTCTAAAAGTGGAGGTATCTTAATATGACAAAATAGTCACATCTATTTTCTATATCTTTTTGGTGAGTACTTAAAGTATCTGTTATATTCTGATTCGAAGTTTGAAATACTTCAAAAGGAAAAACAAACCATTTCTCTTTCCCGATGTCAGAAGAAACACAAAAATACTGAACAAAGCATTACATAAAATAGTGTCGTAAATCTGGGCCAAACAAAGCTGTTGTTTTAGTCATTGCAAAGAAACGAAATCATTTATTAGAAGAATGTTGTTGTTAAGTGCCATCCAGTAGGTTCTGACACATAGAGACCCTGTGTAGGGTTTCAGCAATCAAGAAATCAGACGACGTATTGCATTAGGCCAATCTGCTGCACAAGACCTTTTGAAAGTGTTGAAGAGCAAAGATGTCAGCTTGAGGACTAAGGTGCGCCTGATCCAAGCCATGGTATTTTCAGTAACCTCATATGCATGCGAAAGCTGGACAGTGAATAAGGAAGACCGTAGAATTGATGCATTTGAGTTATGCATTGAGTTGGAGGAGAATATTGAAAGTACCATGGGCTACCAAAAGAACCAACAGATCTGTGTTGGAAGGAGTGCAGCCAGAGTGCTCCTTGGAGGCCAGGATGGCCAAACTTTGTCTCTCCTACAAAACTTCTACTTTTACAATTGTGACAATCCCAAATTAGTCGTAATAACAATTACTCATAAGAATCTTAACCCCATCTCCTTTCACCAGACCCTTCTAGACAAAATGAAAACTATTCAATGGGGATTATACCTTCCCCCACACACACTCTGAAACTAGACCCCCTCATAAAAACTTGAAAGCCAGTCTCTTGGTGCCTTTATCACCCCCTCATTTTAGGTAGCCAATGTCTAAGTTTCCTGTCCCTATAAACCCTGTATACAGAGAGGATAGGATTGATCCTTGATGTGAAGACTCCTTCCCTCTCAATTGCTATTTTGAGCTACTATATCTATAAGTATAGGTCAAATTCATCAAATTATAGCAATTTACACTTGTTGCCTTTATCAAAAACATTTTTTAATCTTCCTCTAGTCAAGATCTGATCAAGCCATCGAGGCTAGGTCGAATGAGTACATGTACAACTTTTGGTGTTCTTGTGCGTCTCCCCTCACTTCATATCATCTGGGTGCTTCACTCTCAGCTCTAGCCCTCGGTGACTCTGTCCTTGTCCATGGGCTCAGGTGTCCCCAGGTCTCACCACACTTCGGACCAACCAGTCCTTCCTCTTCTCTCTTTCATGCCACCTGGCACTTTACAGAGAAAACCACAGCACCACAGTGGCCTGTCCTGTCTCGGGCAGCGGGCTTCCCGGCACATGGAGCACCACTCGGGCAGTGCTCCTGCAGCGATTGGTGGCATCACCCAGGTTTGTGCCTCTCCTGTCCACAGGTGATCAATGTCGATGGGACAAAGAGGCGGACACTGCTGGAGGACAAGCTCCCTCACATCTTCGGGTTCACCCTGCTGGGAGACTTCATCTACTGGACCGACTGGCAGAGGCGGAGCATCGAGCGTGTGCACAAGGTCAAGGCGAGCCGTGACGTCATCATCGACCAGCTGCCTGACCTCATGGGACTGAAAGCCGTGAACGTGGCCAAGGTCATCGGTGAGTCTGGGGGGGCTGCGTGCCAACGAGTGGACTCTCTGGCTGGAGAGGAGGAGGTGATGGGCCTGTGGTTCAGGAGCTACTTGGGGACATAAATGTCCAGCCAGGGGTGCCCCACTTGGACAGCAGGGATGGGAAGGGAGAACTGGAGTGGGAAGTAGTAACAAGATCTGCTTTAGGACAGAAGGAATGGGGAGCCCTTCCACACTCGGTCCTGCGCCATCTTTGATGTGTTACAGCCATTGGTGCGCTCACTGTGATCCTCTCTCTCCTGGAGGCGCCCCTCAATCTCACCAAAGCTGAGGTCCTGGCTAGTGATGGGCCCTTCTGATGACGTTGGCACTGAGGTAGACCGGGTGGAGAGTGCCTCAGAGCTGTGCATACTCTCTTTGCAACTTTTTCTATAAATCTAAAATTACTCCAAAACAAAAGTTCATTTAATTGAAAAAACAACAACTAAAATCCCAGAGATAAGCAGATAGGATGTGTCCTTGGGGTTATGACTTGTAGTTAAGAAATTGGGTTTATCTCTGTTTTGGGGTTTCCCTCTTGTGTCCCCTGGTGGCACAATGTTTAAGAACGCGACTGCTAACTGAAAAGTCAGTGGTTCGAACCCACCAGCTGCTCCTTGGCAAAAAGATGTGGCAATCTGTTCCCGTAAAGAGATCAGTGTTGGAAACCCCATGGGGCAGTTCTGCTCTGTCCTCGAGCGTGGTTGTGAGTTGGAATCAACTTGATGACCAGGGATTCTTAAACCCCAGAATTTGCTGAGATGGGGAAAGCATTCTTTTTTTAGCTCAAATAGTTGACATGAGATTAAAGCCAGTTTTAATTGTGTTTCAGTTGGTGAGGGACATTAACAGGCTGTCCAAGAATAAATGGACATGCTGAGTGGAATCGGCTTTCATGTTAGAGGTGCCTTTGACCACCGTGGCGAGTCTGAGCTTCAGAGTACCAGGGTGCCAGGTTGGGAACCTCAGGGGCCAGTCTGGTTGGCAGCAAGTGTTGAGGCCCTGGAAAGAGACAACCTGTACCGTCACCACATCGAGACATGATTGAGTCTTCCTGGGGCTGAACTCCGGCCAAGAGGCTGGACCACCTGGAATAGCATTTGTTTTGGCCCTCTTTTTATTTACTTACCTCATTTTATCGCTTTATTGTGATTTGGGTGAAAGTGTGGCGATGTGGGATAAATGCTGGACTGCTAACTGCAAGGTTAGCCTTGGAAACTATACAGGGTCACAAGGAGTCAGAAGTGACTCGACAGCAAAAACTGGCATTTGGGCGAAGGTTTATGGAGCACACTGGTCTGCCTTCAACAATTCAGTCATATATATATATTTTTTTTTTTGGCTGAAGAATTCATTTTAATCAACTTGTAGAAAAGACAAATACATCATTTTTTAAAATATAATCTCCTTGCTTTTTAATATACTTTGTCGATCTGTCGACAAGCTTTCATAGTCCCTTAATAAAAAATATTTTAGGCAGAGCTGTGAGCCACGAGTGCACCGCTGTCTTCACTTCTTCATCAGAGGTGAATCTTCATCCTTGAAGACCAACATATGAAAGTCCAATGGAGCAAGATATATAGGGGGATGCTTTAACACCTCAAAACAGAGTATTTCCAGAGTGTTAACAGTGTGGGCAGAGGTGCGTGGACATGCTTTGTCATGCAAGATCACAATGTCCTTGGATAGCAGTCCTCTGCGTTTAATACAAATTTTAGACTTCCGCTCTTCAGTGAGCATATCAATGTAAGGAGCCCTGTTGATTGGTAAGCCTTTTTCCTGATAGTGTTCCAGTACTGACCCTTGAGAATGCTAGAAAATCGTAAGCATCAATTTTCCAGCTGATGGCTGACTTTTGAACATATTCTCGGTCAGCAATTGAGGATATTTCCATCCATTCTCTGCCGTACCCTGTACTTGCATGCTCGTCTGCCTTTTATGTTCAGGCTCTTTTACTCTCATGTCTTGTCACCAGTAATGATGTGGGTTTTTTTTTTTTTTTTTTTTTTCCTGTGTAGGTTTTCTTTTTTTTTCCAATGTTTTATTGTGAATTGTGTGACAGTCTACATGGGAGAACATCAGCTTTACATTCATTCCATCATCCATCATTTCATTGGCATAGTTATCATCCTGTCCATGCATCCTCATCCAACCAAGGGGTGTACCCTGTAAACCTGCACCCCCCTCCCACCACAGTCCTCAGCCCCTTTCTATCTCCTGATCCCGAGCCCCCAGCCCCACCATCTCTTGACGTTGTCTTCTCTGCCTCCATCCCAGGCCTCACTGCCTCTCTGGGTAGGATTCCGCTCTTTGCTCTTCTCCATTGATGGTCCCAGGGTCCTCTGCTCCTAGGCTGATAAATTAATCACTCCCCTCTTTGTTACAAAATGTCCACCTTTAGATTTCCAACCCTCACAATCAGTCCTGATAACA